GGGGGAGCTGCACCCCGCTTCCCCAGCTCCACACGCGCACACGCACTTACACACACACGTGCACACGCACATGCTAACATGCACACGCACGCACTTACACACACGTGCACACGCACATGCTAACATGCACACGCACGCACTTACACACACACGTGCACACGCACATGCTAACATGCACACGCACGCACTTACACACACACGTGCACACGCACATGCTAACATGCACACGCACGCACTTACACACACACGTGCACACGCACATGCTAACATGCACACGCACGCACTTACACACACACACACACACGTGCACACGCACATGCTAACATGCACACGCACGCACTTACACACACACGTGCACACGCACATGCTAACATGCACACGCACGCACTTACACACACACGTGCACACGCACATGCTAACATGCACACGCACGCACTTACACACACACGTGCACACGCACATGCTAACATGCACACGCACGCACTTACACACACACGTGCACACGCACATGCTAACATGCACACATGCACTTACACACACGTGCACATGCTAACATGCACACGCACACACTTACACGCACACACGTGCACATGCTAACAGGCGCACGCACGCACTTACACACACACATGCACACGCACATGCTAACACTTTCTCCAGTCTTCTAGGGGGTTGCCCTGACGCAGGCTCAGCACCGATCAGGAACCCCATGTGAAGTGGGGTTGCAGCCGCATCCCCGCTTGCTGCCCAAGCGCACCCTGAAATCAACCAGCCAGCCTTCCGGGCACACGTTGTTCTGGAGCTGGAGCTCTCCGGCTTAATTACAGCCTCTGCTCACATCCTGGGCTGGCTCCCTCCTCCACGCTGCCTGGTTGCAGCCCAGCCCAGCCTGCACTGGAGTGGCTGGAGTACTGTGCCCCCATTGGTGGACTGAACCTCCATAAATCTAGCTCTTTTTTGAATCCTGTTGAAGTCCTAGTCTTCAAAACATCCTCTGGCAAGGAGTTCCACAGGTAGACTGTGTGCTGACTGGCGTTAGACTTACCGGTCTGTAATTGCCAGGATCACCTCTAGAGGGATGTTACATTTTATTACATTATGGTCACTATTTCCAAGCAGTCCAGTTATATCTACCTCTTGGACCAGATCATGTGCTCCACTTAGGACTAAATCAAGAATAGGCTCTCCCCTTGTGGGTTCCAGAATCAGCTGCTCCAAGAAGCAGTCATTTAAGGGATCAAGAAATTGTATCTCTGCATCCCATCCTGAGTTGACATGTACCCAGGCAATATGGGGATAGTTGAAATCCCCCACTATTATTGAGTTTTTTGATACCCTCTCTAATCTCCCTTAGCATTTCACTGTCCTGATCTGGTGGTCGATAATTTAGCCCTACTGCTATATTCTCATTATTGGAGCATGGAATTACTACCTGTAGAGATTCCATGGAGCATTTTGGCTCATTTAAGATTTTTACTTAATTTGATTCTACATTTTCTTTCACGTATAGTGCTACTGCCCCACCAGCATGACCTCTTTTGGCCTTCCAAATTCAGTGTTGATAAAGGCAAAGTAATGCACATGGAAAAATATAATTCCAGCTACACATGCAACATGATGGGGTCTGAATTAGCTGTTACCACTCAAGAAAGAGATCTTGGAATCATGTGGATAGTTCCCTGAAAACATCTGCTAAATGTGCAGTGGCAGTCTGAAAACGAAAACAACTAACAGAATATTGGGAAGCATTAGGAAAGGAATAGATAAGGAGAAAGAAAATATCATATTGCCTCTATATAAAGTCATGGTATGCCCACATCTTGAATACTAAGACACAAATTAGGTCATCCCATCTAAAAAAAGACTTGGAAAAGACATAGAAAGGGCAACAGAAGTGATTAGGGGTAACGAACAGCTTCCATAGGAGGAGAGATTAAGACGACTGGGACTTTCCAGCTTGGAACAGAAATGACTAAGGGGGGGGGGGGTTTGTTAGAGGTCTAGAAAATCAGGAAGGGTTGGGAAAATAGAATCCGGAAATGGTCTTTACTCCTCACGAACATGCCACAAGGAAATGTATAGGCAGGTTTAAAACAAATTATTTCTTCAGAAGCTTCAGGGGGTAGCCGAGTTAGTCTGTACAGGTAAACTGAAAACAACAACAAACAGTCTGGTAGCACGTTATAGGCTAACAAAACATGTCGATGGTTTCATGTTGGTACATGAGCTTTTGTGGGCACAGCCCACTTCTTCAGATGACCAGAGTGTTGGATGAGAGAAATGGGGGGAGGGGCAGGAGGCTGGAAGAAAGGAAAATTGGGAGGCGGGGAAACAAGAAAAGGCAGTGGGTAAAAAATATATCAAGGGAAAGCAGAGTCTATAAGCACCTAAAGACTAGATAGTCAAAGGTGGCAGATAAGAACCATTAATTAGCAAACAACAAAGTCAGGAAACAAAGACTGATGAAACATCTATGGCATGGGTTCCCAAACTGGGGTGTGTGACGAAATTCCAGGGGGGGTGTGAGGTGACCCAGCCCCTCCCGCCC